GCCATGATCCTTCTTAATAATTCTTCCTTTTCCTAAACAGAGTAATATATACCAGTGTGGCTCCCCAAGCACAGTCCTCCTGGTCACAGTGAGTCCAAGAGGTAGAGGAGCAATACAGCAGTAGCTATTTGACACAGCTTTCAGGTAGAAGAGGACAAATTAGGTCAGGAGCGTTGGCAGTAAATAAAGAGGGAACTTTAACCAATTACCTATTCAGTATCACCAGCCTAATGCACTGCAGCACTTTTTCTTCCTAGTGTCCTTTAATGTTTTGTCCTCTGCAATTTTGGAGGAAAGGTATAATAATATCTCTTTTGCAGAGCGAACCTGAAGGAACCGGAAAGCCTTGCCCATCCATTTCTAACATCTGCTTTTATAGCAATTTGCACCCTCTCATTATAACTCCACTTACTGTTCTGGGGATGACTTTCTTTTGCTTTCTACTGCTAGACAGCATCCCTAAGCATCATTGGGAATGTAGCAAAAACGTTCTCAATACTCATACTGTTTCAATCCAGAACACTCGAGAAAACCTCTAATCCTTTTCAGTATAAATGTGTCATTTATCATACGTGAATAATGTGTTGAAGAACAAAAACTTAAGACCACACGTAGTTGGTTTTTCTGTCTATGCCAATTTAAAATCAAGAATGATGACTTTTCAAAGGCATCCTCCCAATATAGCATTTCATTCTTTGGCACTGCCGCAATATTTAAATAGATTGGTTTAGCCTAATATTATTGGGCGTGCTTCTGAATTAATTTCCTTCTGGAAAGCTACAAGTAGACAATTTTAACTATATGATAAATTATGTTGCCAAATGAAATGGATTAGTAATCAGAGATAGGCTGTCAGATCAATTTCAGATTTAAATTCCTCTTTTCCCTTCACCTGTTCATTAAGCTTCTGATGCACAGCAATCTTAGTGACTGATTATGCATTAACAAGCTACTTATACAGGGAGGTGTAACTTAGTAAACAGACCATACTAACATATTCATTTAAACATAATTCAGAGCTAATATATTCAGTTCACAATTCAACATATAAACACCCTGTTTCTCCCCTAAAGTTTAATTTTTGGCTTGACAGGGAAGTTATAGTTCATACAATTACAATGCAACAAACCAGAAACTTTCTGAAGGTCAAAGGAAACCAGAGAAAATGTCAAACAATAAAATGTTCTGCTCTATGCAATTAAAAGAACAACCTATATTTTAATGGGTGTTTCTTATATTATCTTACTCCTGTTTTTTTATTTAAGTTCAGTTTTTAAAAATCTACTTAAATACTGAAAAGATGCAGAAAAGAGCAATTGAGAATATAAAAATGCTGGAACAAGTCCCTTCTGAAGAAAGAGTTATTACAGAAATTGTAATTGGGAAATTGGTAGAAAAAGGCTTTCTCTGAAATTATTAGAACCTAAGATCATACACTGGAATCAAGTTGTGGAAAACTTAAGATAGATATTTCTTCCCATAATGTACAGTAGACAGGACAAGTGGCTATTGTAAGATGTAGAGATGGCCACTAAGCTTCAGTTTTAAAGGAATGCTCATATTAATAGATATTAAGAATATAATGTACATCTTCCAGTAACTGAAATAGTCTAACAGCAGGTGGCAGCACCTAACCAGCTTTAACTGATCTTGAAAAAAACTAGGCAGATGTGGTTAGCAGTTACATAAAAAAACTTTATTCTAGAAGTGAACCATGGTGAATCATGCCAGAAAAACTGAGAAACTTCCTTTTTCCTTTTTCTAGACCTGGACCATGTCAACCTAGTCATTCTGACAAGCGGTCCAGCCATTTTCTAGCCCTGAATCATTCATAAGAAGTGGTTTCTAGTGTTCTAATTAGATACAAGTTTAATAAAAATATGATTGGTCACACAGTGCACCAGATACTTAGACTGGATCTGGCATTTTTATCCACCTATCGAAATCTTCCCAATGACCTGGGATATCATTGTAGCGTAAAGCTATTCCAAAGAAAGATGCCTTTTGCAACTGACTGATGGTAATTTTGTCTATTCTGATGGTGTTCAAGTAGTGCTCAAGTTGTTTTGGGATTGCACCCAAGGCACCTATCACTATTGGTACTACCTTTGCTTTCTTTTGCCTGTTTTTCTACTTCTGTTTGCAGGCCTTTGTTTTTTGTGATTTTTCTCAATTCCTTTATCTTATAGTCTGCGGTCTCCAAGGACTGCCACATCCAATAACCAGACTTTTTTAAAATCTTTCTTATCAATAATTGTTAAGTCTGAGTGCTATGTGGCAGTTGCTTATCTTTTGAATTCTAAAGCTCCAAAGCACTTTAGCTTCTTCATTTTCTATTACTTGGTGTATTCTGTGGTTCCACCAGTTCTTGTTTAAAGGCAAATAGTATTTCTTGCAGATATTCTAATGTACCATTGTTGCTACTTTCTCATGCCATTGTTTGTAGTCAATCTGTGCAATCTTCTTGCAACAGCTAATCAGCTGATCCACTCTTCAGCTTCTTTGCAGAGGCCTCACTTGCTGTCTGTTGCTGTCTTCTCAATTTTGCATTTAGCAATAGCAATAGCACTTAGACATATATACCACTTCACAGTGGTTTACAGCCCTCTCTAAGTGGTTTACAGCATCAGCATATTGCCCCCAACAATATGGGTCCTCATTTTACCGACCTCGGAAGGCTGAGTCAACCTAAGCCAGTGAGATTCGAACTGCCAAACTGCTGGCAGCCGGCAATCAGCAGAAGTAGCCTGCAGTACTGCATTCTAACCACTGCCCCACCATGGCTCTTTATATGCATTTGTTGTTAAGGCTTGGTCTTCTGCAGCAGCCAGAATTAGCCCCTTGGTCTCTTTCTTCAATTTGCCTGCTCTTAGCCATTGCCAGGTTATTATGTGCTTTGCCTGTTATTTGGAGTAGCACTCTGCCCAAGGTCATATAAGGATTCAACTTATTGACATTTAGAAAGCTGCAAAGACTTGACTATTTCAGAAAGTGTTCAAGAACCGATTGAATGGTGGGTTCCCACCCTGATGTAGGTTAGTTGAGTATTTTTACTGAGAATGACATTCTTAAATGGGATGGATGTGGAATTAATATTATTGTTTTATATCATGTTATCATTTATTGTTCTAATTTTCTTGTTTACCACACTGCAGTGAATTTTCCTTAGAGTACTCTACAACTAAGTAGTTTATAAACCTTCAGGAAGTATAATAACTAAATTTAAAAGTATGGATTGTCCTTGCTTAACATCCATTTATTTAGCAACCATTCAAAGTTATGACAACACTGAACAAAGAGATTTATAACTGGTTCTCAAAATTCCAGCTCTGTAGTACTCCCATGTCACAAAAACAAAATTCAGGCACACTCGGACCCAGCTGAATTTACAACCATATTTTTGCCACCTTCCTACCCACTGCACGCCCACCAGGCCCTGCCCACTGCTGCCATGTCCGCTACATCGGGGTCCCCAACCCCTGGGCCACAGCCCATACCTGGGCCTTTAACTTTTTGGAACAGGGCCGTGGAAGTGGTGGGCATGTGCGCATCTCCACTTGTGTGAGCAGTGGGTGAGCATGTGTATGCATGCTCCATTTGTGCGAGCGGTGGGGTGAGTGTGCTTGCCACTCATACAAATGGAGCTGCACGCATGCTTGCACACCGTTCACATGGAACATCCCCTCTCCCCCCTTCACTGATCCATAAAGCCAGAAAGGTTGGGGAACGCTGTGCTACATCACACACCCATAGTGGAACAGTCAGAGTATTCTTTTCTCACAGACTTCTTTCCCAGACTTCTTTACAAGTACACCTGGAGCCTCTTTTTGTGCCCCCCTCAGGACTTGTTCATTCCAAAAGGGGCTATATTTCATGCACTGGTTTTCTTTTACACAGCAGCTAGATCCTTCTTTCACGAAACAAGGTCCTAGACGGCACGTAGGAAAATCTCAAATGATGCACAGAAGCTGCAATTACAGAGGTACAAAAGAAGGAAGTTTTTGTTGCTTTTTTTTCTGTATTTGTGTTCATTTTTATGTTCTCTTTATTTTTTAAATAAATTTATATATATATAAAAGAAAGATAATGAATTAGCTCAGTTTTTCCAATCTAGTGCCCTCCAGATAGATACTGCAAATATACCTAGGCAGAGTACCTGAAATTTCAAATTCTGGTTTGATATTGAATCTAGCATAACATTAAATACCTTTGACCATCATTATTTTAATATCAGTTCATAACTGCAGTGATAATAACAGAACCAAAGCTTAGGATAAATCAGAAAAATATTCCAGAATGCAAAACACATATGCAAGATATTTCTTGCATATACTTTCAGAATATGAGCAAATTATTTACAAAACCTTTTAAAAATAAGAAATCTGAGAAACTGTAAAATCATCTGTAACCAAAATTTAAATCATAATTTCAGGAAAAAGAAAGATCTAATAGTAAGAACAAAAATTATTACAAATATACGTACATACATACATACATACATACATACCCACATAAAGATAATGAAGGCTGCCACTTTGTAGAAATTCTTTTCATATTTTAAATATATACTTATTTAATATAAATATATAATATAATATAAAAATAACTTATTTATGCCATTCATAATGTATCTCAACCACACAAAAATATCCTTGCCTTTCTTCCCAAAGTACTCATTCTGACAGCTCCTGACAGAAAGCTCAGTAAGATTTGAAAAGAGGGATACATTTCATTGTAATGCATTAGTTCATTGCTCAACTGACCAGCAGAAATTAAATTAAAATTAAGCATTCAGCAAAACAATACATTCACCTATTTTATGAGGCCACAAATATGAATTTCCTTGGGATATACCTGACAATAGAGAATGTTAATATTATTAGCATCAACTGAGGCCACTTTTTCCTCCACCCGCATTATTCTGGAGATTTCCAGAAGTTTCTTAGAACACTCAACAACTAAGAAACTAAATATGACATGAAAAGTATTATAAAACCTACCAGCATTAACTATGGCATCAATCTCAAGCACTGTGATATCACCTCTGTATAGGGAGACTTTTTCACTAAGACTTTTCTGCAGCAAGAAAGCTTCATTGGTGTTGTCTTCTGTAAAGAAATAGAAAAGAGTTTAAGGAATGGTAGCCATCCCCTTATATTGGAAAATGAAAAAAAAAAATAGCCAAATATCGTACTATCAGTTTAGTACCATAAACATTAAAATAAACATTACAAACGTATATATTTTAATTTGCAGTCTCAAACCCTCACAGCTTAAATCTCAAACTGTCTATCATGGACCTTACCCCATTCTTAAGAAGTCCGTAAAGGGGGCATGCATAAACGCAACAGTGTGCCTACCATCCCTGTCTTACTGTCCCCATTTATCTGTATTTACTTCCTTTGTTCATGTTTATGTTCATACCTATACTTGTTATCTTGTACATGTTTGACAAATAAATTAAACAAATAAACAAACAAACAAACAAACAAATAAATAAATAAATACTATGCCACAAGTTTCAATGTACAAAGCAGGTCAATCCCAACGTTTATTTATTGTTTATACTCACCTTTTTTGTTCCTGTTTACCAAACCTGAAAGGGTACAAGTAGTCCTCAAGTTACAATGACAATTGAGCTAAAAGTTTTTGTTGTTAACCAAGGCAGTTTTTGAGTTTTGCCCTATTTTACAACCTTTTGGTCACAGTTGTTAAACTAATCTCTGCAGTTAAGTGATTTATACAAATCTTCCCCCACTAATGTTGCTTATCAGAATCCGGCTGCAAAGTTTACAAACTTTGTGGTCTCAGAACAGTGCAAGTGTCATAAATATATGCCAGCTGTGAAGCACCTGAATTTTGATCATGACCATGTGGATTGCTGCAACGGTTGTAAGTATGAAAACTAGTCATAAGTCACTTTTTTCAGTACTGTTATAACTTTGAACAATCTTAAATCAATGCTTGTAAGTTGAGGACTACCTGTAAAACAAAATTAATAATTGGATATATTTTTCTCTAAAACACATTAACAGTAGCCATCTCAGAAAGAAAACGGCATTAGAACTCCACTTGCAATTCCTTATACCAATTGTGTGTTTTCCTGCAATTATGCATGGTCAACCATATAATTGGGGTGGGGGGGGAGAGACATACAATAGTTGCTTTAAGGAACTAAAACTGATACCATAACCATCTTCCCTTATACTCCACAATACGGTACCTTTTGGCTTTCAAATTCAAAGGACTACATGGAATAGTTAAGATCATAAAAAACAGTTTTTTATTTATTTATTTATTTATTTATTTATTCGCATTTCTATACCGCCCTTCTCCTTTCGGACTCAGGGCGGTGAACAGCCAGATAAAAAACATCTATACAAACATCACAATTAAAATAGAATTAAGATAATTTATAAATTTGGCTCATAATTTAAAACTTGTCAATTAAAATAAATATTAAAATTTTAAAAATTTTAAAACTAACCCTAAAATCAGGACAGACCAGCTAGTTGAAAAAAATGAGTTTTTAGGGCCCGACGAAAAATCCGGAGGTCGGAGATCACTCGTATCTCTGGGGGTAGATTGTTCCATAGGGTAGGTGCCACCACAGAGAAGGCTCTCCTCCTGGGGGTCGTCAGCCGGCATTGTCTGGCCGACGGCACCCTGAGGAGGCCCTCTCTGTGGGAGCGAACCGGCCGGTGGGAGGCTATTGGTGGCAGAAGGCGGTCCCGTAAGTACCCTGGCCCTAAGCCATGGAGCGCTTTAAAGGTAATCACCAACACCTTGAAGCGCACCCGGAAGTCCACCGGAAGCCAATGCAGCTCGCGCAGGAGAGGAGTCACATGGGAGCGCCCCGTCGCTCCCATAATCCCCCGCGCAGCCGCATTCTGCACCAGTTGGAGCCTCCGGGTGCACCCCAAGGGGAGCCCCATGTAGAGAGCGTTACAATAGTCCAGACGAGAAGCATAATTGTGCCTTGTCTGGATTTTGGAAAAAAATTCTTTGGACTTCTATTTCAGAACAGTACTATAGTAACACAACAAATGTATAGATGTATTTGTATGTTTGTATTATGTCATGTGTTTTATGGGTCATTAGATTTTTAGCAAAACAATCAAATCGGAAATCAAAAAGTCTTTATTTGACTATGAAATGTGTAACTTGTATAGCTTTTTACTTGGCTAACAAAGCAGAAGATAAGCCCCAAAATGATGATATGGTGCTTGATTTTATCAAGTGAAAGAATACTGGCCTGGCAGAGTATTTTATTGGCCCATTTCCGCCATATAGAGCTCCAATTGCACTGATTACGATTGCAGTGCAAATTAGTTGTGGTCTGTTCCACAAATGATGTCTTTGCACAGTGCCACAACACATATTTTAATGTTCTCATGCATTCAAATCATCTTCAAGGTTTCACAGGTTTATTACTGAATAAGGATGATAAGTCTTTTTTGATCTGTGGCATCCACATTACAGTTGAAACCATAATTACTGAACCAACAACTAATGTTTTCCCCAGACTCTTTATTACTCACCAAGCCTTATAACAGCTATTTCCAATTGGCCGTTTTATTACCTCTGTGATCATGTTGCAAATTTCTTTGGGAGAGCTCACTGAAACTAGCATTAGATAAGAATACAAACATATCCAGAGATAAAGGAATGCTCCGTGAGGCAAATGAAACAAAGCAAGATTGCTGCGTCTTATTCTTCTGTGTCCCCCAGAAGCCATGAATAACCCGAGCGTTCCATTTCTTGTACTTATTCTATAACTTTTGAAATGGGATTGCCTAGCACAGGGCTGTCAAACTCCCAGACCGCAAGCCGGATGCATCACGCACTGACCATGCCCATGCCCGGTTTAGCAAAGAAGAAAAAAGTCCCGATACGTCATGTGACGCCGCTGTGATGACGAGAGTTTGACACCCCTGGCCTAGCAGGACAGGTTTGCATACAATAAGTGTATTACACAGAAAAGAACAGCAACCAAACCCAAAACAAGCTACCCGGTTCCCTAGAATGTGGTAATGGGACCAGCATCTACAATAATGCTATTTTGTAAGACTTCCAACACTAAAGTTTAAGCAAAAAATTAGCCATTCCATTCAGAAAAGTGAAAATTCAATGCAGAGTTTTGAAGCAAATAAATGTGTAGGTTATATAATGTGCAAGACTAGCTGTGTATCTAAAAAACATTACAACTGTTATATAAAACACAACTGCTCCTACCAGCTAACAAGTTGATGGTAACACATCCAATTGGTAACTCAAGCCTCAATACACAATATCATAACTGATTGGTAGCAGTACAAATACCACAGCTCCTCAGGAAATTACTGACAGAGTTGTTACATTAGCACTTGTTTATTCAGTTATTTTTGTGCTTTTGATTTTCTATGAGAACACAGTACTAAATCATATGACAGGAGGCCAATAATATAAGACATTTTCCATCTATTTTATTATAAAATATAGAAAGTTAATTATGATCACAGGCACAATTGTAACATAAATAGATTCATCAACTTTATTAACAACAAACCCTTTCAGGACCAAAACGGATATGCTATAGAATCCAAAGTGTACCACCAGAGGGAGCATTAATCAAGACGATAAACATTTGTGCTCGAAAATTAGTACATTTTAAATCTTACTGATTCATAAAACAGCACAAATATAATTGAAAAACAAACTAAAGTACAGCTTTGCGTTTCAGCAAAATGAACTAGCTGTCCAAGTATGGAAACACACTTTGGAACTCCTGATATTCTAGACTTATTAAAACTGTGTCCATCTGTCAAACAACTTCTAGTGGAATACTTCGTTTTCTACAAGTTTAATAAATAAAAAGTCTCCTCTTGCTCAGTGGGGTGTACATCCATACAACTCTGGATGAAATAGAAAGTATTTAAATATATGTATACTTTGGTCTAATGGTTAAAGCACCAGAGTAGAAACCAGGGGACTGTGTGTTCTAGTCCACCAACCCCCCTTAGCCATAAAAGCCAGATGGGTGACCTTGGGCCGGTCACTCTCTCTAAGACCATGGTCAGGCTCAGGTGGCAAGCCAGTCAATCAATTCCTAGTACAACCAAATGGATAAACACTGAGTTAATGGGAGGAGGGAGGAAACTGGTCCCTGCAGGGAAATGCTAGGAAAAATACTCCTTGAAAAATATTCCCTTCTCACCCATATGGGCGGCCTGTGTCTTCCTCAATCTTGGGTCCTCTACCACAGGACCTTGGAGTTTGAGGGTTCTGTGCAGTATCTTAGTTATTCCTAGCACTGTATTCTTCTGGACAAAGAGTTCTGATGTTGTTCTTGGGATCTGTTAGAGCCATTTTCCCTATTTAGGAGTCACAGCCCCAAGCGCTCCTACCCCTATTCCTATCCCAGCCCTGGGCTGCCAGCATGATTAAAGAGCAAACAAGCTTATTCTCATAAAATCACTTTATCTCCTGTCTCTGTGCTCTGTAAGCAATGGGGTTGAGGGCTGGGGATAAAAAAGCACAGGGCAGACAGGAACAACATGTACAGAGTGTAATGGTGATCTTTTGACTGTGGGATGCTGCAGAGGTAATAAATAGTCATAAATTGACTGTAACATTATTTTTCCAGCACCATCATAACTTCAAACAGTTGCTGAATGAATAAACCAAAGATTACCTATATTATATTCACCAAAGCTGGTAAAAGGTCTTCAGCCTTAGGACAAGCTTTTAACCTGAGCAAATCTATGGTGCACAACATAGCAAAGAATGCTAATAACATTTATGGTAATACATACTACCTTTGCCTACTATGATAACTATGCATATGAGAAATCCAGCTGTAAAAATAATTGAAGGAAAATGCTTTCACTGTACATAGAACAAGGAAGGAAACGTATTTGAGCAACCGATAGTGCTTAAGAATAAAGCTTTAAAAATTCAGAACCACATGTGGTAATGCATTTGGGTTTCAAAATTTGACACCCTATCCATCAACCCAATTTTCCCACTTTTTTGCTTTATTTACTTTATGTGAGATTTTTAGGGAATCTAGAACAGAGTGAAGGAAGTCTGTGCAGGTAGTTGTTCTGATTATAACAGTAATATTTTT